CTTTAATATTTAAGTACTGACATAGGCATCTTTGAAGCTGTTTTTTGCACAATACCTACGTGGCTGATATACGATGAGTTACATTCCTTCGCTAATACAGGAGGACTGTGAGAAAATAAGGATAACGATGCGGTAATGCTTGTTATGATTTGGACATTTGACAATATTTAGCTTATCTTATCTAATCGTATTAATGGATGAAATTTAAGAAAGTTCATATGATATTGCTGTATATTAATACATTAAAAATGTGACTGTTACAAGCCGGCTCATCTTGTGGTTCCCATGCCCCCCGTACTTGCTTTTGAGCATGCGCAGTGTATTTCCCTGCGTAAGTCTGTTGCAAATAATATTCATAAATTGATACTGATATATTTAGCAGTGTTATATCCTTGGGTAATTTTTTCAGGTGGCGGTACCGCTGCGCTTCATAATACGAGCTGCACCTTCAGATTAAAGGTAACATAATTGACCAGGTGATTAATTTAAAAATTATCACATACGCTTAATGGCAATAGGTTTTCCGGATACGGAATCTGAATAGGTTACCGTAATTGATTCAGAGACGTATCCGACTGGTATGTAGGCCTAATTGAAAACTTCAATGTCACAAGAATTAAAGGTGTTAAAAATATTGAATATCCGGTCACGTCACGAGGAAATACAGTACTGTGTGTGGCTGTATTATTTACCTTTCGCGTGGTAATATTGAAGATGTTATTTGGTACTTTGAAAAAATGATCTCGGGGTCTCGGAATTAGAGGGTGCTTGAACCGGGGGGGGGGGGGCGAACTGAATCTAACTGCTCGTGTAGTAGGCCTAATCCACCACTTAATTTCTTCACATTCCTCCCAATACCAGCTCTATGTACCAAGGCACCAAAGTAAATTTAAAAAATAGATTGGTAATTAGCATGTTTGTAATTTCAACCGTCGTTCGTCACAGAGTTGTCCTCTTCGGAGGCTTAGCGAGTACTTAATATGTAATAATGACAGCAATGCTTCATGTAAAAATGATTCAGTAATCAATATCAGGCGTACAATTCTAAAATATATTTTATTAAATCTTAAATTACATTCTGTTTATGACAAGCAATTGAATTAAAAAGTTACTTTAATTCATAAATAATTATGGGCCTCATTATATTTATTGCAAACCATATTAGTTATTACTATTTATGGCGCTATAATTTTACTTAATTTGCATTATAAATAATACAAAAATAAGAACAATACCAACACCAACAATAATAACACGTAAACTATTTTCTTTATTTTGTAATAATAATATTAAAAATAATAATAACAAAATCAATAATTATAATGTTTTTGTTTTCTTTAAGATGGTTTTATTGACTCGTTGTAACGGTTTCTGTGTCAAGTCTTCATCAGCAGAGCCTGTTATCAGTTTCAGGAGCGTCGTCCGTCACCCGTTCAGGTACAACTGCCAAAGCTGCCAGGACCTTCTATCCTCCATGAAAGCAATTCGCCTCCAGTGTGCCAACAACGAGCGTGTTTACGCCACCTATCGATACATACTCGAATGTTCATGTAAATCATGTCGAGTCGACCGGCGAAATAAATTCTAACCAAGTATAAAAAGCGTATCAAAAATAATGTTGACGCAGCTGAACAGCATCGTAGAATCAACTGCTTAAGGACCTTGCCGGCGGGCGTTGGTTACAGGAAGTCGGTACAACAGGAATAACACATTTTTTGCTTCACGTCATCATATGGAATGAGGACCTTAAAATTTGTTAAGTTTATTCAACAATCATATATTATATTGAGACGTTAATTAGTTCATGAGAATTAAGCCGACGGCTAAAAGGGCGGTGTTTTGATTTTCATTACTTAAAATTGCCCGAAGACGTTATGAATATAAATTGAAGACAATATTTTGGTAGCCTCTATTACCTGTTACATTAATTCGACACACCTGCCGATTATTGACTACTTGACACCTGTGATGTGTCGGTCGTTTACATCAATGTATTATTTTGTATATAAACTTATAATAAGAAGATAGAAGATTATTAATAATTTTGTAGGCTATGCGAAATATTTCAGTGCCTGTTTAAATAAAGTAGGCCTACCGTAAGCGAAGTATAATGTTTGCGTATCGAGGTAAACACATCCCATTTGATGTGTTGTACGTGGTTTTACAGACGTGGTTGCTTAGCGCAATTACAAGCGCAATTAAATGATATTTAATGGTTGGACTAGAAAAAAAAGTCCATCTATATAAATGGTATATTTTTGGTTAATTTTAGGATAGCGTGTTCTTTTTTTCTTCTTTTTTTTGACATGTTCTTTGAATCTTTCGTGCTAGGCGAATGGAAGAGCTTAAGTCAGGGGCGCCTCAACCGACAGCCAAAATATCGACGCCGGTTCGAACGGCACGCTCGCATATGTTTCTGGTTGTGGAACAGGTCTTCTCGGATAAGGACTCCAAACCGTAGGCCCAGTGTACACAATTGGCTCCGTGTACACTACATCCGTCAAAAGAGTATAGGGCCCGGTTTCCTGGTGTACGGTCCCTTCAGCCCTTGTCGTTGTGGAGTCGTGGACGAGAAAGTGCGCCTCTTGGCAGCTGATTAGACATGATGTGACCTTGGGGGAAGAAAAAAGTTGAATGAGTTAGCTCACTCAAAAATACATTTACAGAAAGCCATCAAATACGTCATAAATACAAGTTGTTTTTTTTAAACGTTTAGTTTTAGTCGCATGACTTCCGTTGTGGTACGTGTCCGCTGTAACGTTCGTGAGTTAAGTTCTTTACCGAAGTTTGTCATGTCCGCTGTTGGCATGGTAATGTTTATTTATATTTCAAAATTGTTGACATAAAATTAAAAATCGGATTAAACTACCTGAATAAGTCAGTGGTGACTTGTGATACAGTTGTAAGAATACTCACATTTCAGTTTTTAACCTACAAAACACATTTTAGGTTTTATACTTTTTAATTATTTATGTATGTATTTTTGGCTTTTATAAGATGTAATTTATCGCTTTTATAATTTATAATGTAATTTTTAGATCTTATATGATGTAATTTTATTATTAGTTTTTATGATGTAATTTTATTATTAGTTTTTATATGATGAAATTTTATTATTTTTCTTATCAGGATCCTGTGGTAGAACAATATTTAAATATCGAATGAGTTTTCGTGAATAAATAAAGTAATAACAGTAAAATTAAAAGCAAATCTATCTGAAATCTGAAAATGTTTTGTACGATACATTTTATTTATGTGTAGGTTTTCTATATGTAAATAAAAACAAGGTCCCACGGTTTATAGTCCTTATCCGAGAAGACTTATTCCACCACTAAAACCATAGGTGAGCGTGCCTTTCGACGTGCAATAGAAAACTCCCTATTATGACTGTGGTTGCAACGCCCCTGCACTAACCGCTCGGCCATCCGACTCGACATTCAGCCTAAAAGGGAAATTAAAAACAGTTAAAATTCAGGGAAACCATACCTTCTCGTGGATTCACCCCTAGTTACCGGTATGTGGCCCCAGTAAATATCGTGTCCCGGTGTCACACGTTCAAGTCTCAGCTCTTGATATTATGTTAAGTTGGCTTACAGTATTAATAACTCTATACAGCTTTACATTATAATGTATTTGATGGGAATGAATTTATTTGGTTTTAAATACATCAAGGATAAGAATTATTTTCAATGGGTTTTTCTTGCGGTGAATCCGGGTGTCAACCAGTAACGTGAGACATCCTCTGCTCTTTTTCCAGAAATGTAGGCCTATTGAATTCTTTAACCTGCACATTAGACTATCAATTAATGTCATAAAATGTAAAGAATTATTATTATTATTATTAGGCCTATTATTATTATTATTATTGTTGTTATTATTAGTTAGTATTATTAGTTAGTATTATTGGCTTTTCCCAGCAGTAACTGGAAAAGCCATTGTTTTTGTTCTGAATATTTTTTTTTTTTTGGTTTTGTGTCAATCTAGGGTGGAATGTGCATGAGAAGACCAACTAAGGGCAAACAGTCTACACCAGATATTTCAAAAACTGGTCAATTAACATGAATGGAACATTCGGGAAAGTTTAACCAACTTTCCAGGAAGAAATTATTATTATATCCTTGTGGGACTACGGAATGCGTTACGAAATCAAACTACAAGTGCGAACATGAGACCCTATAGGAAATTACTAATGTGACGAGTGATATCAGTAGGCCCAATTAACAAAATAATCTCTTTTTTATTCCACAACAAAACACAAACACAGATTGTAATGAAAAGATGAAAACTGAAACATAAACTAATGAGAAAAAGAATGAAAAAAGCCTTATTGGATTATGTTATAATAATTTTTTAATTATTATTAATGAGAGAAATATGCTACTTTTCATAGAAAACAGAAATACGTACTAATGTACTTAAATATCTCACATATAGGCCCTATATAAAAAATTCTATTAGTTTACTAGTATTTAAACAAACATGAGAGGGTGTAATTTTTTAATAAAACAATACAATCTTGATTTGACTGAAAGTTGCTGACGCACATGGAATTTGTTGGTATTTCAAAATAATCTATGTTCTGAGAGTAAAGCTTAATATAGAATAAGTATAGTATTTACTATTCTTCAAAATAAACAATCTATTCTATGAACTGGTGAGCATTTCATCATAATTTATTATTTATATATACGTACACGTGGCTATGATTTGTTTGGCTATATCAATAAAAGTACAAATACAAAGCAGACACCACACAAACCTAGACATGCGTCCTTAATTATTGTCCCTTGTACCTTAATATTTACCCTGTCAGCATGATTTGGGTTTTTCCGCGACGATTGTGACTGAGAAATATTACGTCACCAAATGCAAGGTCATAATAATGATAATAATAATAATATTGGTAAGTGTGCCTACAGTACTCCTACACTACTACTACTACCACTACCACTACTACTACTAACTACTACTACTACTAGGCCTATACTACGACTATACTTCAATACAAACTATATATTGTATATGTTGTCCAACGACATTGTATATTTTAGTCTCAACACACGTATTCATAAAGGCAATAAATAATCTTTAATTCCTATTAGTTACTCCCCCATTAAAACTGATAGAGGTACAATTCTCCCTCCGTCCCTCAGATTCTCAGCCAGTTAAAAGAGTGGACTGTAATTTATTACTGATGTTCGACAAGCTGTGAATGATTAAGGTTTTTCTCAAAAATCAAAATTGAATACAATGAAAACCTAAGCGATCACTATTTTTACGATACTGGGAAAACCCGTTAAATAATAATATGAAACGCCTTCACAAACTATGAAAACGCATTCAGAATGTGTCTCTAACATTGTTAATTTAGGCCTCTTAGAGGAAACCTTTGTCTTGCTTTCAGATTATTTTCTTTATATGAATTGCTCACATCATTTTAAAACTTGATATATTGTTAATTGAAAAAACAAGATATTATTATCGGTGATAGATCCTTCTTGGCGGTGCGTCATTCATAAATTCTCCATATATAGCCTAGCCCACGTTACAATGGCATTCAGTCTGTAGGTGACCTCCTTGAAACTAAATGATGGCTAACAAAGAGGCTGAACATGGACGAGTTTCATCCCATCCAACGTTTTTATTTGCGATAGCATTCGCTGCCATCATTCTCGTAGGTTGTTTGTCTTTGTATACTTTACATCGTGTTAATAGGCTGGAAGCGACCAATGAAAAAGTCTTGATCGCATTGGAAAGCAGTTTAAAAGTAAGTCACATACTACAGGGTTTACTTGATTAACTCAATTAAATTTTCCACGCTCAAAATTATTATAATTATTATGATTTAAAATTACTCCTATTTTGTATTTATTATTATTATTATTATTATTATTATTATTATTATTTAATAAAACCCTATTTGTAGCACTTTATGGATCGTTTACATTAAGTCTTAATTCACGATTTTGTCTTTTTAGATATCTGTCAGGCCAAATAAAAAAACATATTGTGTTGGCCTCGCCCGGCCGACCCAAAAGCCGGCCTAAAAAGGCTGGAATAATCCTCTCTTGCTGGACAGTGGGCGATGTGACAGTGTTATGCGATCGTTTTGCTCTTCAACATAGATTTTAAAATGGTTTTTGTTGTATTTGTTGTGTATTTTCTAATTAACCAAGAACACATTATTGGTTAAAAAAGATTTTTTTTCTTACCGACCAACCCAGTTTTTGGATTTTCCAAAAACGTGGCCAACACAATATTTTTTTTCAAACCTCATTAATTAATCTACCAATTTCTGTTTCCTTGTTCTCATATTAAATCCCCCGAAATCCACTTCTGGCATTCCGATGCCTATATACATCTGCATTCTATGAAACCGATATGAAATAATTGAAAATGAAACCTATAAAGATCATTGTGTGTTTTGTGGTACTAGCGATCGGCATTGTACAGTTACAAGATGGTATTTAATCGTTGAAGTCTGTAATGTAAAAGAATTGACTTTTGACTTCTATGAGCGTGATGATGTCATCACGGACATGTGGGCATAATAAAATGTCGTATCACGCCCATTATGTTGGCATAACGATGACGTATCACAGCCATAACTAGGTTTTATGGGCATAATGGTGTCTTAATATACAGCAGGGGGAGCAATTATTCTGGCCCAATTTACTTTGGGCCATGAGAAAAAAAAAATTATAAACAAAATACTTAAAAAAACTAAAACTAATAATCATTCGATGATTTTTTTTTCAATTAAAGTGAAGACTAATAGAGCAACACTGGGCCATTTTTAGGGGTGATTCCACTCAGATGTAGGATTAAATCTATTGCCGACTAATCGACAAAACGTCCAAAATTGGTAGTCTTAGTTCAGCTAAATATGACATAGCAGATTAAAAAGTAAAAACTTTATCACAGACTTGTTTTAAACAGTTCCGAGATCTTACGGGTGATTATATTTGGTCCTTTAAATAAATTAATTAAGAATCAGGGAACAATCACCCTCATTATTTAGTCATGATGACGGCATATCACACATAGTAGGCCTATGGATATTAAATGGATTCTCATAATCTACTTTAGGTCAGATTTTAATAAATTTCGGCTTCTAATTTGTATTCAAAATAAAGATAAGACCGTCTAGCTTGTAAACGTAAGAGCGCAATCCCCACCTTGCGCTTTCAAAAAAAAAAATACACTGAAATAGTTCAACCTGAATTTACCTTATTTAGCCAGCTAGCACTCCCTCAATTCACCCACGAGTCCCACCCACTTATTTAAACACAGATCACCAATGTTAATACTCGTAAATACACCACTGGACTTCGAGCGTCTCGACACATTTAGCATGCGTTCGACGCGTTTAGCATGCGTTCAACGCTAAAAACATTATTAACTGTGCTAACCAATCACACAATCCTGGCAATGGATTATGCGCGAGATATTTAATATCTCGAAAGGTCCACTGATTAATCTCAGATAAGAAAGTATAATACATACTCCAAGTATTGAAATACACGCCATCGTGTTGGGATTCAATATTTCGACATTAATTATGTCATCATCCTGTATTGAAATACACGCCATCGTGTTGGGATTCAATATTTCGACATTAATTATGTCATCATCAATACACGCCATCGTGTTGGGATTCAATATTTAGACATTAATTATGTCATCATCCTGATGATGACATAATTAATGTCGAAATATTGAATCCCAACACGATGGCGTGTATTTCAATACTTGGAGTATGTATTATACTTTTTTAATATCTCCATTTCCAAATTTTTGATCACTTATTTACAAAACAGTAAATACTGTTTGAAATCATTTCTACAGAACAAAAGTGAAGACCACAACCAAGAATTTCTACGACATAAACGTAAGTCGCTACGTATCATTCGCTAAACATGACTCTTTGTGATATTCTTTCTTATGACATACAAGTCACTTTCACACTTGGATTTGTTCTTACCTCACAAGAATGGGCCTATAGGCATATTTTGCGTTTTACATTGGTGGCTTTCTTGGCATTATTTAAAGTGAAAGGAGGGCGCTATCTTGTTATTTACGGTAGGGCTACCTCATCGTCATTCTCATACCATCATTATTATCTTAACGACCCCACCATCCCCACTATCATTATCTTTGTCATTGTCATCGTCATCATCAACACCATCATCGTAATTTCACTGAACTTTACTTATCTTGAAACTATACTCATGCTTTTAAAGTTGAAATAAATTAAAAAATAAAAAGAAGATACTTATGGAGCCATGCTTATACTGTGTTTCAATTTGTTCACAGGTTCTAATCATCAACGGGTAAGACTTTCTATATTAAGTTGTGAAAATTACAACATAATATTACAATAATATTAATAAGGTGCGATCCGACAGTCAGGGTAAATGATGGTATTACCACTACAAAATGTTAAACGAATACAATACGTGACAAATTAATCGTTAATGTGCAACAGTCAAGTTAACATTACATTAAAACTACCAGAAGTAATGGACTTGATAGCACAAAAATCGTATTCTTACATTTATTTAGGCCAGCATAAACACCTGTCTCTTATACCCATCTAGTTGTGTATAAGAAACAGGTCTTAAGGTATAAGGTGATATAAGTATCACAGATACATTTTTCTTTTGGTTCCTGGGTTTTTCTTGTAAATTTTTATTTTTATTTCATGCTGAATATATTTATTGTATTTTCAAATTGATATTGTTGTTTTTTGTAGAGGGCATTGCATTAAATAAATAAAATTCAATAAATAAATAAATAATAAACCTCAATAAATAAATGCATGAATAAATAAGCAAATAAATATATAAAATTAAGGTTTATACTTCATTCCAAAGTACTCGCTACAGTTTTCAATTTTTTAGAACTATATTATACATATACGTATTTGATTTATGTATACTGTATATATATTTATATCTATATTTATATATGTTATATATACAATAACAATACAGCTTATATATTATTACAGACAGCTTCGCCAGGCCTAGCTTCAGCCCACCTCGTTGGCCATCTAGAAAACCGGCTGTTTCGCGGTAATTTTACATTTTGACAAACATTAAGTTAGCACATTTATAAATGAAATTAAACAATATTTAAGATATTTTTCTGGTAAAAGGCTAAAATTAGAGAAAATTGACAGTGTTTCCGTCTCTGTCTTATTAACTCATTTAAGTCTGTAAATACATATTTCACCATCTGTTTTTTATTCTAACACTATACTTTATTAAACTATGTTTGTTTGTCAACATTAATTTGTCACAGAGATACAGTGGTGGCTCCAGATATTTGTCGAGGGGTTAAATGTCCGACAGCAAAGTCGACTAGAGCTTCGATCAAAAATACCTGATTGGGTGAATGGGGACACATTTTATGGCTTTCATGGCCCAAATTGTACTTTACACCACAATTAGGGATTGACAACCAAATACTTTATTAATATCGGCAAATTATTATTTTTGGTCCGACGACCTCGTCGTGGCGTCGAACGATGGGGAATCAAGGCCTGTCTGACGGGGGTGGGGGAAATTCCCTCTCTCCCACTGGTACCACTACAGAGATATAGGATTTGATTGTATCATCTAAGTATACTTATTATATTATAGGCGATTTATCATCCGTATGTGGGGATGCTGATGCTGTCAAGAATATTCATGAAACTTGAATAACAATGAACAAAATCATTATTCTCTAGGTCAATGGTTGACTTGGTGTTTCAGCAACTGTTTAAAATCTTTTCCACAAAATGCTACCAATTGTAGAAGATCTACACTCAGCCACAGCGACTTCTGCGTTAGCAGTGATCAAAACACTATCCGTATAGTGAAAGCCGGTTACTATTATGTTTACGCACAACTTGTAATGACTTCAGAGTTAAATGCGATGAAGAGCCTCCAGGTAGCCGTTAAACGACCAGGAGGACTGATGGGGGATGCTTATCCAGTCCTGTCCAGTTACAAGACACAGTATCCGTTAGTATCAGTTTACTCCTTTGTTTTTGTGTCTACTGTCCCCTCGTCTGGCAATTGACCTTGTAGGCCTAAAGGTAAATCCTGTATAAGAATGATGGGATCTGTCATAAGCTAAAGATAAAAATGAAAAGTATAAATAACTAAAAATTCAACAACCGGTATTGGTTTTTTTTTCTCAAGTTCATTAGCGCCAAATACAAATTTTATGTAATTGTTCATGTTCATGATGAAGGTTTTCATATGCTTTTTGGGAAAGTTCGACCGTTAACTGAAAATATTTAACGATTCTCCTGCTTCGAATATCTGCACCCTTTGATGATTTGGGTAGGTGGTTCCGAAATATTAGTGCATATAGAGTATGCCGGTTGAAAACGTGTAGTATATGAGTTTACATTGGATTGGATTGGATTTATTCGGTGTAAACCGAAGGATAGCCGACGAAAGTCTAGAAGAAGACTTATTTCCAGTGGGGTCCTACACACAGAATACCTTTCGACATGACTTAGAAAGAGTATACTGATCTTAATTTCCTTATAATTGTATGTTAGAATCTTGAGCCACTTCTATTTTACATTTTCCCCTTTTCTGTAAATAGGCTAGGATTCACTGCAGACACGCCAATTAGCAGTAAAGACTCCGTGTACATGGGTGGAGTTATGTTCTTTTGTCCCGACGACTTGGTTGGAGTACGAGCTAATCCGGAAAACACCGAGGATATTACTCTAGATTCGTCGAACGACAATTCGGCTTACTTCGGAGCTGTTACCGTGAATGAAATCCCTAAACACGTCGTATATCGATACTGTGCGAGAAATGTTTAAGCAGTGACATCATCAACAACACCGACGTAAAATGTTAGCAAAGAGGACGAGAAGATAAAACCACAAACGTACACTTCACTTCGACCAGTCCGTTGAATCACGGAGAAAATACAATTAAACCAGACCATACTTAAACTAACTAAAAAAATATTTACTGTATTAACATTATCGTCTACAAATATATTTTTAATATTTTGTAATGCTGATAGTTTACAGTGACGATTTTAACAGCTTTTATATTTTAACTGTTTAATATGCATTCTGCGAGCAAAGGATAAATTGATGTCAGTCTGAGCATGGTCTGACTTTGAGTGTAGGTTATTTTACTGCTGACATACTGCAGGATTTGCTAGTAGCACGATAATACACTCGGTTCTTACTGTAGGTTGTTGTTCTACCTGGGTCACAGTTTACAAAATAATAACCTCAACGCCCATTTCCCACCTTTTCTTGATCAACCATTATACCTTGTTCTTCTTGTATCCTCCTTGTATCTGAGACACCATACATAATAGTTTTCCCAGACAACCATTCTTGGTTAACATAATTCTTGGTTCCTTCTAAACGTGTACCGTAGGCCCTATGAGATTTATTTAGCTTCTGTACAAACGTCTTAATAATGTTAGTACAGGAATCTTAATTTCAAATAATAAAAGATTTGTTCTCCATTTACTATACATACGACTGTTTCCGATAGACTAGTTAAACATGTTTAGCCTAATAGGTTTACCATGTATTTTATACGTTTGTTAATTAATATATAAAACGAGTCGATGTAGGGTTATTACAATTTTTACACTCGCCTAATCGCTGTTGTAATTATGAATGAATTATAATTTGAATAGCTGGGGTGGGGCAATGGGGAATCGGGAACCTAGGCCTATTTATAACCTGTAGGGTCCGAACCTATGGCCGAGATTGTCAGTGTTTCCTTCGGAATTTTAGCATTTTTAATGTTATATCTAAAATGGTTTCACACTTCGTTAGTGATTTTTTGGCTGCTGCTAGGGTGTGGTGGCGGTGGGGGTGGGAATGAGCGCTTACACAGAGCTAGTGGATTCGTCGGCTGACGTACATTGTACCATGGCTTTAATAATGTGTAGTAGAGAGCCTAAACAAAACGGTTAATAAAATCGTACCCAGATTTCATTTCTAGACTTGTTGTTGATAAATTATTTGACCAGTATAAATTGCATATCTTGTCATTATTGCTGTAGTAGAATGATAAACAGGTGCGCTCTCTCAAACAGAAGCGAGCGCAGAGAATTCGAGACGGTGACGCCGTGGCCGTAATTCGGTACGTCTCCGGGGCAACATCAGCAGGCTTTTCCATTTGTTGGGATTGGAATATACCAAAACCCATGCACTTGAGTACCTCTGAAACAAAACCATAATATGAAATTATGAATAATACTTTGAAAAAATTCATTCGGAATGAAGATGAAATTTTTGGATTCTTTTTTTTCAAATTCCAAATATGGGGGTTTCCAGTCTGATGAAACCACTTGGTTAGTGGTTAAAAAATAAGTAAGTAATATTCTACTTTAATATTTGGAATTTGGCAAAACATTAACATATAGTGTAAGTCGTTGTGTCTGAACATAGCCTATGTTCAGACACAACGCTAGCGTAACGTTAATCGAGTGGTGTGAACTTGTGCGCGGCGTAGCGAACGCCAGTATTATCGCGCAATCACTGGCGTACGGTAATCCAGCAACAGACCCCAGATTAGCGTACGCCACTGATTTACGACAGTCACGCATCGGTGATTTTGAACTCAGCCAAGATTTGACCAATCAAAATAAACCTAGATGTAAACCTAGATGAAAATAAAATGCGCGAATTACGAATACGAATATTTCGCGCGAATACTTACGCTAGCGTTCATTAATCGCCCAGTCTAGACATCTCGCTAGTTACGCCATGGATTAACGTACGCCTGGCGTTAGATACGCCTGGCGTATCTCACAGGTCTGAACGTAGCCTTAGAGACGGAAAAATAAAATCGAGTATGGGACGCCAATTAAATTAGATATGGCGCGCACTAAGTGCAATAAAGAGTGAGTAACCCAAATTAGGGCCTGGAACCCAGGCTAGGTGGCGTTTAATAATAATAATAATAATAATAATAATAATAATAATAATAATAATAATAATAATAATTCTGGATTAGCAGAGTTAATAGATTATAAGAGTTACGCATTATGTCCATCCACACAAGCAACACAAATTGGAAGAGAGCAATATATCCACTAAGCATTGAAAGTTGGTTGCGTGTATAAAACGTAATTTCTTGTAATTTGGATAGGCCTATAACTTGACGTGTATAAACGATATTGATATACAATCAATATTTTCCGTAACTATCTATGCTGAACATTAACGACTGGACTTTCTTATTATTGTGGTCATATTAGACTAAATTTTGAATGCATGAGATCGATAATCAATCAAAATTGTCTGCACTCTTTATGCCAGACATTTTAAGAGTAGACTTCCTTATGATTTAAGGAAATATAGATTTATATTGGTCTGAATCTACTTGACAAAGTGTTCTTTATTTAGAAGTTTGGTATTTATTTGATTAAGTACAAGACACGCATTATTCATGGTGTATTTCAACATTTTGAATAAACTGATCATTTATATTGTATATAAATACTCACTAAACAATAATGTTTGTTCTCTCTATAGCTGTAGCGGTTATTAGGAATAGTAATATGAATCAGGGAGGGTGTGGGGTAAAATTTAGGGGGTGGGGTCAAAATCTTTTCCCAAAACCAATTGCAAGAAAAAATGTAACTCGGTCGAGGACTTGATAAACACTCTCTTTCCTCTCCCTCTCCTCCTTTTCCCTCTTTCTTTTCTTGCATTTCTTTCCGATGATACCAAAATCTCCATAGACATATATTTTCTGCCAAAAGGTACCAAATTGTTAAGTTAACATAAGGTAGCAGCAAAGTTATTTCGTTATTTTAAACACCAAGCTTACGTTACTGCATTGCATTATTTTTAGCTACGGGGAAGCCAATTCTTGATTTATAAAATTATGCGGTTGAAAGGTTGGTGGAGGACATTAGTTAGTATTGATTTGTTAAAACTCAGAGGGAACAGAGAGTTAGTAAAGCATTACGTAAAAAAATATATGTCTCTAGAAAAGTCATCAAAAACTAATACAGTTTGTATCGTTTGGCTTGGATCAGTGTGGTCTCTTTTGTTTGATTTGAATTGATTTATTTCTTTTAGCAATGTTGCGCGGACAGGATCAAAATATTTGGCGGGCCGGAGTTGCCGGCGGGCGGGAGGTTGAATACCAGAGGTCTAGTTGGTTAAGGCGTCTGCATAAACAGCAGAAGGTCACGGGTTCGATTCCCGGTTGTGACACTTATTTTTTCACTCTTCTTTAACGTTTATAATATTATTATATATTTACAGCATTACCACAAGACGGTTTAGAGTAGTATATATATATATA